GCTTCTACGAATGCACCTCCTGCAAAACTGTAGCCCACGGCCGATGCTTGGGACAAGTGTCACTTGTCTGTCCGGAAGCCTTCCACCCGGATCGAGTAAGAGCGGCATTCGTACGATGCCTAGCCAGTTTGCTGTACACCTACCGCAAACACCTCGGCCGTCCAAACAAGCAGCAAAAGTCCAACGGGCAATTATACGCCTTTGACATGGATGGATTCATAAGGAGCCTGCCGTACGATCAACAAGAGTACGCCACCATGATGCGCGACACTCAAGGTAAATACACCCCTACTTTCTTCATTCACCACACAACAACATGGCCACTGACACACGCCAGCCTTCAACGAATTCATCCACAGCCGCGAAACCACCCCGGCAACCGACCCCTCCATACGGCTCTTCGACGAGATCCTCATGGCCAAGAAGGCCCGCGGCCGCCCGGGCCTCTCATCTGGCCTCTCACGACTTTCCACCATTCGCCAATCCCACGGCGCATCCGTGTCTGCGTTCGGCCTCGCTGCCGCGTCCCGCACATCCTCCAGCAAGGCGCCCGCCTACCTCACCAACACATCCGACCACATCTGGCGCACCGCCTCGGTCCCCTTGCCGAAGGGCAACTTCCCCGGCGAATACCGCTCCGTCATCACACGCATCCCGTCCTGCCTCGACAGGACGCTGATGCGCGAGCCCCGGGCTATCCAGGGCGTCCCGAGGATGGAGCAGCGCGGCACGAGGGCCTTTGTGCGGAAACAAGTTCCCAGCATGCTGGGCACTACGCCTCCATCATGAGCAATTTTTGCTCGAAACCTTTCTTTTTTTTTTTCCCCTCTTCTTTTGCACGTTTAGCTTGTGCGTGAGGCACTGTGCCATCCATTCATGCCACGACTCACGAGTGGGGGGGAAAACAAACAACATTGCAATGTGTACATTAATTTTACCCTTCCTGTACTGTACTTTATTTAAACATCGCCTGACGGAATACGCTAAAGGGACATATACAAAACAAGTGTTTTGATACCTGACCTAGAATTGACTGGACGGGTTTAAATGGCAAAAAAGGGACGAGGGTTTTTAGGCAAAAGGATTATATACACGCGTGGAGCTGGCATTGCATCGAGTCTGATTTACCGCCGTCTGTTTCGTTGACGTTTTGTACTTGGTTAATGTTGCGTCGTGGATGGATCATTATCAGCTGGTGATACTTTCGAGGTGAAGCCATGACGGGAGCGTGCTTGACTATTAGAGCATCAATCAAATCATCACTTCTTTTCTGGCCATGGGGTGGAACGTACATCTAGCCGCTTTCTGCAATATTTACTCTGATGTTTCTATGCTATACTACTCGTTGATGGAGAACATCTGCCATCTCTTCTAAAATATTGTCTCATTATGTACACCTCGTCGTGTATGTCATACGTCATCACAGTCTCTTGAAATCAAACCCATTGCCCTCTCGGCCGTCATCATTCTTTAGAAAAAACAATCCCAAACGCCAGTACAACTGGAATCTATCGCCGGTACCTGCCCCTGCGAGGCGGGTTGGGCGGATTCTGTGAAGTAGTCCTTGGTATACCGCGGGGTGGATTTTCCTTGTTCAAGACCTGCACATGAAAATCTTCCCAGCCAATACTCTGGAGTATATGATCAGTCAGAGATGAGTAACTCAAGTGTCCCTTGGGTAGCGCCTCTACACAGTGGTTTTCCACGCCATCGGCCCCCTGAATTTCCTGTAGACCAGCGATGCCAAATTGGAGGTTGCATGAACGGTACAAAAACCCAAGGATGTAATCGTTCTCGGAGTAAACGTTAACTAGTCGACCAGATACAACGCTCTTCATAGTCAGCCATACTCGACTCTCGGCCGGAAACGGTGCCCCAATCATAACGACAGAATCAACAACGCCAAACTGACGTCGCTCTGCCAACACCATTAGACAAGCATATATGGCTCGAGCTCCAAGACTATATCCGATCAAAGACACTGGCCTCTCGCCTTGAAACTTGTGCCGTATAAGAGCATCGGCAAGCATGGCGCCCGCTTTCTCCGCCCGAACCATGCCTACACTCCAGGCGTTGTCCACGATTTTGCTGATTCGTAAGAGCGGCTGCGGCCAGGCGGATGTCATTAGAGTTTTGAAAACTGCGACGCCGTCAGAAATAGCTATATTACTGCAGCTCGATTCATGACTTACTAGATTTGGATGCAATCTCCTTTTTAGCGCTTTCCCAAGCTGTACTCTTGATGACTGTCTCGAGCGCGCTTCCAAGATTCGTCAGAGCTGCATGTTCCCACTGGATGGCATATAGTTCTGATTGGCTATTGAGAAATTTCCAAGTTTCTGCAACATCTTTCGAGTCTGTCAAAAATCCGCTAAGGGCGACAAGAACATGAAGTCTGCGATGAGAAACTTCCAACATGGTGACGTCGTCGTAATTGTAAGGGTCCTTGCACAGTCGAACAAACGCAAAGTCTTGGATATCTCTGGCAAATGTAACCAACATCTTGCTAGGTAGTTTGGCGGGGTTGATCCCGAAAAGGGATCCCATCAGAACCGCATTTTCGGCCATGGTTCCCAATAAACTCGCTGCTGTGATTGTTGACAACCCCAAGCCACGCTGACGCGTACCAATGCGGACGTATTTCAATACGGCTGTGAGATTGACGGGACCTCCAAGCACCATTTTAAATTTTGGACTACCGGTTTCCTCATCAGGTTTGGCGGCATCTTCTAGTAATGCGTCGAGGGCCGCTCTCACCAACCCCTGAGCCACCTGAGCTTCTCCCGACTGATAGGTTTCAAAAGATAGATTGAGGGATGATGTAAGCTTGAGGAGAAGAAGCCTAGAATTTGCTTTGTAATCCTGTAGTGAGAGGAGGATTAATAGCGCAATATGTAGCAGGAGCTCGCGTCTGTCTGGGTGCAAGGACCACAAAGTGTTGGGAACAGGAGGGTGTCTTGCGGCTAACTTGGAGTCTTTATGACGTGTCGGGACACAATGCGGACCTTTACTTGTCAGTTCAATGTAGAAATGAAAAAAGGGAAGTACTCAGTTAAGCTTAGTGTGAGATATTATTAGACGCCGTACCTGTTGAGCCTCCTCGTCCACCACGACCGCCACGAGCAGCACGGTACACCCCACGGTCACTGCGTCCCCGACCATAAGGACCTGATGTTTCAGCAGTCATATCGTTGACATTTATTTCTGTAAACCTCTGCAAGACGCTCGATTTCCACTTTCTGAAGAACACGAGGGTTTCTTTCTTCAGTTCCCCGAGCGGTTGGAACCTTGCGCTCTCCTCCGTCTCAACGGCATGGTGAGTCTTGGTATGCGTCGTGGAGTACGTGTCTGGAATATTTCCACGGAAAGTTTTGCCCGTCAAAATATTCTCTTTGTTCTCGTCCTGATGGCGAAGAAGAGGGAGCGAAAGCCACTGTCCCTGCCCGTTATCTCCAAGGACTGGACGCACAGGAAGCGAGTCAAATGGGTTGCTCACATCCTTCTGCATGTTATCCGTAATAGTGTTGACAAGGGAGACGAATGCATTTTTCTCGGCAATGGAAATTATTCCAGTCAGGTCAGCTGGTCTGCGAGCCGGTTGATGCCCACTGCCGCGGCCACGTCCCATGATGAGTATGTCAGAGTTATGAAGCGACGATACCTGAAAAGCCTTAGAAGCGGCGAGAACAGCGCGGCTCTTATGTGTCGAGGGATTAGGAAAGGCAGCGAAATTCACAAACTTGACCGTGTTTCCAAGTTCCACAAACTATGGCCTGAGAAAGGGGAGTGAATAAAGAAAAAGTCACGGACAGGAGCCAAACAAAGACGTTTAGAAGGCAAAGACGAAACAGCCTGCTTCTATAAGTGGACTCAAGAAGGACTCAAAGATGGAAAAACATGCCATTTTGCCACAGGATCTCTTACCTTTTGTTCAGATTCGATTTAAAATGTGGAAGCTGAAAGGATGGCAACACCAGCAGTTGCAACAACTCCACAAGGAGAAGGAAGGAGCTGTCTGGTATTAACCTGCTACAGCGACTTAATAGTTGACAGCTGCCGCAGCTGCCGGCCAGCTGGCAGCTCTAACAGCAAGTGTCGGACCAATCATGAGCACATGGGAGAGTGTTGATGGAAGTCGATGGACTGGACTTTTGGACGTGGTGTCACGTCGACTAGGCCGAGGGAGCCATCGGCTGTGAAGAAGGAATCCTCACCTTCTTGAAGCTCCAGTAACGGTGGCATCTCGTCATTCAATAGCACACTCGAGAGAAAACCGATTGCTGACAGCTACAATGCTACTTGTGCACAGGATGCCTCCAGCCGTTCCGTGCGCCAATATATTCCTTTGAGACGCGGGACAAGGGGGTAGCTCGTCTTCTTGAACAACCTAGAAGGCGACTTGGCGGTAAACCTGTGTGCTTTGTGTTCATTGCACATACTTGTATTCATTCTTTTCGAAAATGTTGCCAATGTGATTAGATCTGTGCTCGTTATAGCAGACCAAGGCCTGTGAATAACACCCGAAATCTCCTGGATGACCACGTCTGTTTCAATGATCCCGGGCTAACTCGCTAATGAATAGCAAACAGTCAGCGATGATACCGCGACGGCCATGCCCTCCAAGTTGCAGTTTGACGACTCGCCATTATTCTTGTCCGCTACAAGTCGTACAGGGCCTCGCCGAACGGGAGTTGTTACGGTGACCCCGTTTGCGCCCAAGGTCACGCGTATACAATCACCGTTGTTTGCTGAGTACGAAGGAAGGCTTCAATGCCATCATGACACAACCGGCAGCCGGCATTGTTCCCCGTCGGCCCTACCGCTCCATCATCAGTCTTGCCTCTTCCTATTGTTCTACATGTCACCACCACCAGGATTGCTTCTTTCAATACGCAGCCAGTAGGCCAGGCCGTCCACTACCCGAGGAACACGTGGGCATGGCAAGCAGCTTGTGTTGGATCATGACAGTCGAGAATCACCACTTCAAAGTCAAATGGACATTATTCTCCCATTTCGTGGTATCTCAAATGCGCTGGCATAGCAAAGGACGGCAAAGAATGGCCACAATCTTGACAAACAGAATTGTCTGAACCATTCCAGTCCACACCGGACCCCAGGCCTTCCGCATCACCAGTGCTAACTTCAGAAGGCGCCTCATCATCGGATAGTGGCTCCAGTTTAAACGGACGAAGCACTTCATCCTGCCTCCTGAACATGACAGAAATGTCCCGCCCTGAGCCTTGTTTGTCATCTCCGGCGCCGACCACCATGTTTGCAACACATATATTAATCAACTGCAAGTTCCACTTGTGTCCTTTAGCGGTTTCAAGCCGTCGTAGAAGGGGTAGGAGAGCTTCCGCAACTAGTTTCTGCGCTAATGCGTCTATATCAGCCGATGCGTCAAAAACTAAGCCAGGCAAGGGGCCAGATCGGGATATTCGACTGAAATTTGGAGCAGAACTGCGGCCTTGTCTCGTCGGCCATGATCTGATTGCAAGCCTCAGGGTTTTTGGCCGAGCAATCCATCGTTGTGTCGCCGGCTTCTCTGCATTGTGTTCTAGAGCAAGGAGATCTATTCTCATTCGCCGGATGAGCGAACACGAAAGTTTGTGCAGTTCTTCCGTGATTCGGGTCATGGTCTCTAGTCCTTTGTATGTATCTTCAATGCTTATTTGTGACGGAATGTCGCCGGCCTCTTTGACTTGCGTTGGATCAATTCCATGCAAGAGACCCCATACCCTGACACCAACTCCCCTCTCGGCTCCGGGACCGGTGAGAAGAGTCTCTATGAACCCTGGGGATATTGATGGATGCAGACGGACATCTCGAGCGTAAACCGCCGAAGTAAATGAATGAGAGTCTGCGTCAACCTCTTCCCCAAGAACCTGAGACTCTAATTGCATAGAAGTCTTGAACCCCAGTCCTGGTATTTGCCTTGTCTTGTGACTGTCCATGAACGCAATAACGTCTTGTTCATTCAAGGCCATTAGCGTCGTCTGATTGCGGGGTTTGTTACGGCTTCCCACCAGTTTACTAAGGAGCTTGTTGGTTGATATCCCACAAGTTGACGTATACCCATAATCTTCCTCCATCTTTGTGCGTAGATGGTTTGCGAGATGAGAACCAAGCAAGAGTCTTAGGTAGGTTTTGTTTTCTAGAGGTGCCTCGTCCGGGACGGTGCCTTCAACACAGCCCGCAATGGCCGTAAAATTGCACTTGAATCCATCCTGAGGGTCTGTTTTGGATAGATGAAAGAAGGAATGTGATAAGCAACCTGTGTTGAGGCATTCAATATTGTAGTCGATGACATCGGTCACATCTGCATCACGTTAGAAGTAATGTCCAGAAAAAGCAACAATTGCCGCTTACCCATAAACACTTCGTCAAACCCCAGCCGCTCTACCCTATTATTCCATGAATGCGACCGAAGAAAGTTGAATAGAATTTTGCTCACATCACGAAATGGCGTCAAATCCTCCCCATCCACAAGCACCAGGTCTTTGCATATCTTCTTAGCTTCGGATATCAGCATCAACTTCTTCACACCAAGCCTCCGGGCATTGTAGTTGCAGGTGGCCAGAATATTTTTTTGCTTTACTCCCAGGGCTCGCGATTTGAGGGCTGGGTTCTTGTTCTCAAATACCTGGGCGTAGAAGCAGTCATAGTCCTGGGGGTGGTCAGTCACGGTGAAGGTGATGGACTCGGCGGGAGACAAACGAATTGGAGGATAATGCGGTCATGCTTCTGTCTGGGTACTCGCTTGGATTGCTGGTCCATGGGCCAAGGATTGCTTTCGTTTGATACTGTACGCACGTCATGCAATTCTCATGATGAGCATGTGTTGGTGGTTGAGATGCGCATTACGGCTCCCCGTGAACCGGCTGGCGTGAGCTAGCAGCCTAGTTGACAGCTGCGGACAGCTGCGCAGCTGACCAATGGTCGCGGTGCATGTGGGCGTGGGAAGGAGCCGCGAGTCTTTCTAAGTTCCAACCCTGCGATAGCGACTAAATGGTTCACAGCGTACAAAGAATCCTAAACGGCTTATCCCACGCAAGTATGGGCATTTTCAGCCATCTTTTTGACCACAAGCAGTAACTCCTCGGGCCCGAATCTGGCTCAGCTCGACCAAGCGCGACAACTCGACGAATGGAAGCATCGCACCACTCGCAAAGTACTACTACGACGGCCAAGCGCTGACAGACTAGACGCGCTCACCGCTACGCCGAGAACGCGGCAGGCTAACTATTCAATTAACGCTAACAATGTTCAAACCTGGAAAAGCCACTGCTAGGTCTGTCTTACGGACTCGGTCAGGATATGCTGCGTGGCGTCGTGGTCGGAGACAATAATTTGCTGCTGCTCAACTCTCAAATGTAGCCTCGCCGAGTCATTCCGTGCCAAAAAAAATCTGATCAAACAGTCCAAAACAGATCCATATTAGCGTGTGACAGCATAACATAGCCCGCTGGAGCTCTTGATGTCCTTTTTTTTTTCTTTGCAGAATCGAGAGGTCATCCGGACGCTCGAGAAGGCGATGGTATCACGACGCGGCAAGGGATGCAAAACAAGCGCCGCGAATAATGCATAGTCTGACGCGGACGACGACGACTTTGGCTGCACAGATGTTTTGAGACGGGTGCTTGTCGGTGAATGTTGAACAGACTCGACTTCCCCGAAGGATCCAGCAGGACTATTGACGTCTTTGACCCTTTGTGCCGTGCATATGCCATGAATATGTCGTCTGCATCTTATCAACGCCACCAATTACTCGACCCAATGGGTTGCTACCCCGCCTGCAGCTTGGGCAAGCCGACGTGATATTGGGACGACTTACTCCGTATGCATGAGATAAACGCCCGCAGGTGGAAACACGCAACCTGGGGGACCTGGATGATTGGAGGCATGGCGAGGTCCATCCCACGCATCTGCAAGGGTCGGCGCTTACACGCTGTACCAGTCACCTGGGGTTGACGACAACCAACCATGACAAACTCTGTCTGTTTGGGATGGTGCTCAACGACGAGGGGGGCACGAGGGGGGCATAATCAGCAGCCGTCTGCTTCCTTCGATGCTATTTATCGCGTCTAGCCTTGATGCGAGTCGAGTGCGGCGCTTGCTGGGACAGCCCGGGCCCGAAAAGTGACCTGTCCCATGCTCGACATCGTATATAGCCAACTCACGCCGGGTTCTGGCCGCGTTGGCTCTCTGTTCATGTCTGAATCTGCTTTGACCACATGAATCTCCTCCATCATACCCCCTTGATGGGAGGCTGCCCTGCTGCGTCGTGCGGTGATTTATAGCCTATAGGCATCAGCAAACCGTATTGGGCCCAGCCCAACACTGCAGCCACATCGGATCTTTTCTTCGGCCATCGTCGTTGGCGAGACTCCCGCGGCTTGCCCTTCAACACGGACCACGTCCACCATGACTTCACAGCAACCTCCAAGCGCGTCCAGGAGACCCCGACTGTCTCTTCAAATCAAGACCACAGTATGCAGCCCTCCATCAAAAGGTCTGAGGGGCATTCCCTTGAATCCAAGTGACCCTACAACATTCAACACCATGTCCAACATCTACGTCACGGCCATTGAACGATCGTCAGCCATTCAGTCTGAGCCTGTCACCGCCATCAAAACCCTTCAAAACTTTAGTCTTCAATCTCCAATCGAAAGGAGCGGCCTGAAATCACGGGTCGCGACGTCCTTCGTGCCAACCTATCCTGAGACACCATTGACAGCACAACCCGTCTCCCCCCAGCAAATGGATTTTGTGTACCCAAGCACAATGACCGCCACGCCTCCTCTGTCCGCAGGCCCAGTCGACAACTCGTCCAAAGTATTCACATTTCCGCCATCAGCAGACAGCTCCAGGACGAACCAGCCACCTGAACCACCCGCCGACGATCGTATACCACGGCGTCGCCGGACACCACACTCACTCCCCGGGATCACCAGCCAGCTGCCATACACTCACCCCCGAAGTCTGCACAGCATTCTCCGAAACTCGCCTCTCCCTCCCAGGACGGCAATCCCGCCCCCATCCCCCCGGCGCCAATCCCTTCGCCTCCAAGAAAAGGCCGCCAAAAAGGTCGAATACGACAGCCCTCTGGAGGAAGAAATCACCACCTCCAAGTACGTCCGGTCGCACATAGACCTCCTATCCGAAGATGCCTCCCCCATGTCCCCGGCCTACACGCACGCCTCGTCCCCCGGCATTACGGCCGGAGAAATCACCAGGCTCCCCGACGTGGCGCTCGCCTTCACCGCCAACGAAATCCAAGACGGCGGCCAAACACCCGGCCCCGTTGAAGAAATGGGACGCCGAATGGCAGGACTCGCCGCATCCCCCGTCAGGCGGAAGCGTGAAAAGAAGCGCCGCTGGGTATGGACAATCGGCCAGGACGACGAGGACGACAACATGGGCGGCGCCGTAGCTGCTTCGCGCGCTGAATCCGCACATAAAAAGGCCAGGGCGGATGATGACGTGCCCCAGCTTACGTACGAGGAACTGCCTACCCCCAGCATTGAGAGCATCAGCTCGGTGGCCGGTTCGGACGCAGACGTCTCGGATACATGTAGTGTTGTGTCGGCGGACCACACTGCACGGCGCTGCCTCTCCGTGCCGTCTGACACCGAGGTAGAGGCCAAAACTCCTACCGCGCCGACGGGCGGGCAGAAGAAGAGGGATACGCCGATCCCCGAGTTGGCTGACAATGGCGATGGTTCCACTCTTTCCGTACTTGCGAATTGAGCCTTGAATAGGTCTTTGTGTTTTTTGTTTTTTTTTTTTGGGAGGTGTTATATGCATGGATGGCAATGGCTGCATTACTCATGAGTTTATGAAGGGGCTGCATAGGTATCATAGCGGGCTAGTTGTTTGGGTTTACATAGCCTTTTTTTTAAATCACAAGATTCCTCACGACCTTTTCATCTCGCTGCGTTTTTGAGCCATTGTGCGAAATCCATGACTTGACCTGCACTAGATGTCCACGGCTGGTGTGCCATCTATTTTTATAGTAGACAGTACCCAATCCGAGAATCATCATCTTCCAGATCTATCTGTTTATAAATATACGTACATCTTATGCACGGAATATAGTCTATTTGGTACTTTTAGCAGCTTGCTGCTGGTCGTAATACAGCTCCTCCGCCGACTTGATGCACTGCATATTGGCGCCGAGTTTGTTGATTGTCTCCATCCATTCGTCGTATTCATCCGAATCGAATACGATGCCGCCGCCTGACAACAGTTAGTCTTGGGTATTGCATGGAAAAGGAGACGGACAGTCCAGAAAATGATGTTGGGGGGAGAGGGCACGTACCAGCTTGGAGATAGGCCACGCCGTCCTTGACCATCATTGTTCTCAACGCAATGCAGGTATCCATTGCGCCCTCTACCGTGTTTCCGTTCTCGTCCTCGCTTCCGTATCCAAAGTAGCCCACCGCACCGGCGTAGACGCCTCGCTTCTCCTTCTCCAACTCAGCAATGAGTTCCATGGCGCGGACTTTGGGCGCGCCAGAGACGGTGCCTGCCGGGAAGACTGATCTAAACGCATCGAATCGCGTCTTGTCGGGTCTGAGGACGCCGGAAACCTGTGACACCAGGTGCTGGACGTGGCTGAACTTTTCGACCACCATGAGCCGGTCGACGCGGACCGTGAACGGGTCTCCGACGCGGTTGATGTCGTTGCGGGCAAGGTCGACCAGCATGACATGTTCGGCGCGGTCCTTGAGCGAGCTGCTCAGTTCGTCTGCCAGGCGCTGGTCCTCCTCGGGTGTCTTGCCGCGCTTGACGGTGCCGGCAATGGGGTGTGTGATGATCCTACCGGCCTCGCTCTTGACCAGGAGCTCGGGGGAGGCGCCGACGATCTGAAAGTCCTTGCAGTTGACGTAGAACAGGTACGGCGACGGGTTGACGGTCCGCAGGTGTCTGTAAATGTTGAAGGGGTGGAGGCTGGTAGGTCGGGCGAATCGCTGTGACGGCACGCACTGGAAGATGTCGCCCTTGACAATGTGCTCCTTTAGTTTGGTGACGTGTGCTTCGTAGCCCTTTTGGCCAATGTTGGAAGTGGCCTCCTGCCCCAGCTCTATGGGGCCTTGTTCGGGAAGCTCGATTTCGGGAGAGTTGAGCACATCGACTATGCCGTCAATGGTGCGTTTGGCCGTTTCATAGGCAGCCTCTAGGCCAGTCTTGCCATCCTCCGGCACCGCAACGTAGCTAATGACCTTGATGATGCCGTAGAATCTATCAAACGCCACAATGGTATCAAAGAGCATAAACAGCGACTCGGGAATCTTGAGCACATCCTTCATGGGCCGTGCAGTCTTGGGCTCAAAGTACCGGACGCAGTCGTAGCCAACGTACCCAATGGCACCGCCAGTCAATGGCGGCAGCTGCAGACCCGGCACGTGGGCGACCACATGTTCGGCCAGTTCCTTCTCCAAAGCAGGCAGAGGGTCCGTTTCAGGCCCGTATCCGGGTCCGGTGGTGAGGATCCTGCGCGGGCCGGCGCCGACAAAGCTATACCGGCCTACTTGCTCTGTGGCGGCAGACTCGAATAGGAATGAGTGCTCGGACGAGGAGTGGGCTGAGATCTTGAGATATGCGGCAGACGGCGTGATGAGATCGGAGGAAATCTGGCGGTATATAGGGACGAGAGTCGGCTTCTTGCCAGGGCCAGCATGAGGCCTCTCGACGATGGACCGGACGGTGTCGAGCGTTGGGACGATGGCCCGCTGTTTGGGCAATTGAGTCAGCAACGAGTCCAATTCGTGATT